TAGATGTAGACCCAATGAACAATAGTTAAACACAAAGGTTGTAGAATGGACTGTGGGGTAAAAGAAGCAACTTTAAACTTTCCCACTTTTTTATTATTTCTGAGTGATATCAAGAGAGGCAAATAGTTATACAAACAAAAATACCCAGGAACCCCCTACAACCTACACCCTAGAGAAGACACCCAATAAAGTCGAAAGACTCTAACTTTAGAAGAGACAATAGCAGTGCTTTAAGCGCCACTCTATGGGCAGCACTGATGGCGGCTCTAGAACCGCACTAAACTCTATACAAATTAAAAAAGATTCTTTAATAGGAAGACACTTCCGGAACAACGGACATCCAAAGGAATCTTCTAAGATACCTTGTCGGATCTAATTGACGACCACCTCAGAATCACCTTCCATTATCACGTAACGCAAGGATCTTGAGGCGATGATAGTGATAGCCTCTCTTACTGCTAGGAGCTCTGCCATATAGGGGTTGACTACTCCCTAATGATGCATATCGGCTGCCAACACCACATGCCCGTCTGACCCATGGATAACAAGATCAGTCTAGCACCCTGAGTCACGAACAGCTGCATCGAAGTTAATCTTCAAATAGTCGTCTGGTGAAGGCTCCCAAGTGGCGGGAGGAGGATTTGAGGGGAGAGATATGGGAGCGAAGGAGGGGGTGAATATTAGAGGCATCAAGGACCTGGTTGTAGAATTGTTTGGCGAGGGAACAGACATGTGGCTGCTAGAATTCAAAAGTCACTTTATATCTAGTCTTCCAGATTCTCCGAAGTAAATAGACATTAGAGAATGTGGAATGGGGAGATCTCAGAGATCATGACATGTCACCACCATAGACTAAAATTAACAGTCGAGGTGCAATCATGGAAGTTGTTCAATCCCACTAAGGTCCACAACTTGGTGGCTAGGGGGCATTTGAATATAAGTGTTCAACGCTCTCTTGATGTCTCCAACACAAGGGGGCATCGATTGAGGAATCGTGCATAAGGTTGGTACAGTTCAAACACCACTTTATTTCTAGTCTTCCAAATTCTGCATAGTAAACAACAGTGAAGAATGTGTTGAGAGAAAGAAAACATAAAATGTCGCTACCAAATACTAAAGTTTACAGTTGGAGCGGAAGCAATGAAGTTGCTTAATCCCACTATGGACCACAATAGGGTGGCAGGGGATATCTGGAGAACATGTGTTAGATAATCTCACTACGTCTCTAACAAATCGGACATCAACTCGGAAAGTTAACTCCTCGAAACTAGGGGGCCACGGTAGTATTACTTTTAGACATCAAATTACATGCTTGCTAGCTAAGAATATAATTGAATCATGAATTCACTTCCTCCGGCGGTGGTAACTCAAATGTAAATGAATTAAAAGGCAGGACATCAAATCTGTTAAATAGACTTAATGGTCTATTAGTTATTGTCCAAACACAAATGGGATCTTTAATTAACAAAAAGTGATTAGTGACCGCTTTGAACCATAGCACGAAACTGTTAGGGTCCTCCATCCCGTAACTGACATTTCGGATAATTAAATGCTCAGAAACTCCCAATGGATCTTGCAAGGAGGAGCGTGAGAGCCACTAATAAATAGTAACTTCATGTTAGGATTTTATATATTAACTAGCATAAGCCCTCTCGCTATGCTTTGCGTTGTGCAAGAACATGGGTTTTAAAGATTGATAGTTTGAATTTGACTAAAAAATAAAGAGCCCGTCATCAACAACTTCATGCGGTCGATGCAGCGATGAACTTTAATAAGGTTGAATTAGGTTGAATACCCATGAGTTTGGGTTCAATTTCATTCTCAACAAAAAAAGGAGAAATTAAAAGACACTAAAGTGGGCAAAACTTGCTCACGATCCAAAATTCGGCAACATCATGTTCAACTATCTTTGATCAGCTTGAACGGAGTTTGTAACAAATTCACAACCAATCCGATTTGCCAATTACAAAATCAAATAAAACTCACTAATGACCGAAAACTTGTAAACACCGGGTTCAAGTCATTTTGATTAGGTTGAATTAGCTAGGTTGGATACAAATAGGGTTGGGTTCTCAACCAAAAGGAAATGGATAAAAAAGCACTAAAGCAAATAAACTCTCTCTACCAGAAACTCTACACACCGAGTTGAACTCGCATTGACTGGTTCGAACCAATTTTTTAACAATTCGCACTCTGCTTAACATGTCAATTATAAAATCAGTTAAACTTGTCCTCTATACAAAACTCGTCAACAAAAGGGTCCGGGTTCAATTGTAATTCTCAACCAAAAGAAAAAGGAGAAATAAAAAAAATAAAGCAGATAAAACACGCTCTCGATAAAAAAAAAAACTTGTCAACACCGTGTGTAGCTCTCTTTAACCGGGTCGAATCGAGTTTTTAGCAATTTCACACTCGACCCAACCTACCAACTACAAAATCATATAAAACTCGCTCTCGATACAAAACTCGTCAATACCATGGGTTTGGGTTCAATTATCATTCTCAAGGAAAGAAAAAAATATATAAATTTAAAAATACTAAAATCGGGTTCAAAGTCGCTTTCACTTGGACGAACTATGTTGGATACTCATAACTTTGAGTTCAATTGTCTTGATTAACCAAAAAGAAAAAGAGAAATAAGAAAATACTAAAGAATATGAAACTAAGTCTCCATACAAAGTTCGGCAACACAAAGTAGATTTGGTATGGATTTTCTAAAGCGGTCTTGGGACATAGTGGATGGCTAGGATTCCACCGAAAGTGTTTGGAAAAGGTTTGTGCATTATTGGGAGAATGTGAGGATTGTGTGTAATATATAAGGTATGGATCTTCGGTGGCAATCGTGGCAAATGGTGGAAGAGGACAACTTATGATTTCGTCGACAGTGTTTCGAGATGGGTAATTGTTTCAGTAGGGAAAGCAATGAACAATAGACAATTAATAACTGTTATGGGAAACTAATGGGCAATAGATGTAGACCCGACGGATAATAGATGAACACATAGGTTATAGAATAAAAGACTGAGGTAAATGAAGGACTTGAAACTTCTCTACTTGCACGTGGAGGAGTTTGGTAGCCACTAATGAATAGTAACTCGAATGTTAGGCTTTCATATAATCGGGTTCAAAGTTGCTTTGACCTGGATGAATTATGTTGGATACCCTTAAGTTTGAGTTCAATTATCATGTTTAACCAAAAAGAAAAGAGAGATAAGAAAATAATAAAGAATATGAAAGTCAGTCTCGATATAAAGTTCGACAACACAAAGTAGATTTTGTATGGATTTTTTATAGCGATCTTGGGACACGGTGGATGGGTAGAATTTCACCAAAAGTGTTTGGAGAAGGGTTGTGAATTATTGGGCGAATGCGAGGATTGTGTGTAATAGATAAGGTATGGATCTTCGGTGGCAGTCGTGGCAAACGATGGAAGAGTACAACTTATGATTTCGTCGATAGTCTTTCGAGATGTGTAATGGTTGCAATAGGGAAAGCAATGAACAATAGACAATTAATATTATTATGGGAAACCAATGGGCAATAGATGTAGACCCGACGAACAATATATAAACACATAGGTTATAGAATAAGAGAGTGTGGTAAAAGCAGGACTTGAAACTTTCTCACTTGCAGTTGGAGGAGTTTGGGAGCCACTAATGTATAGTAACTCCAATGTTAGGTATTAATTAATATATGGTGGCTACTTTAGTGCACTCACTTTTTGGGTGCATTCAATGTAGTCAACTCTAAAAGTGACCATATTATATTGAATTTTGAATTTAATTGGTAGCATTAGTCTTATATGAAGATATAACATAGAATTACAACTAATCAATCCATTACCCTAACCCCTTGACCCTCAATTTTGAATCCTAGCCAAAATCCCCAAATGGTAAACCTAAACTCTAACCGTAAATCATTTAAATCAAAGTAGTTCTTGAATAATTTTTGCACAAATTCATGTGTTTTCTTGTCCATCATACCACAAATGACGATTGAATTCAGGGGTTGTTTGGAGAACTGGATTTAGGATCTGGATTCATTGAATCCGTAGTTTATGTAGAAAGTTATATTTTTTTTATTGTTTTTCTTTATTGTGGATTTTAGCTTTAGAGATTTCAAATCTTTAAAATCTACGAATATCAAATCTCTCATAATTAGAGAGATCTTGATTCATGAGATTTATTTCTCCGATTTTTTCTCTTTTTTATATATTTATCATATTAAATATATTTATCAACAAAATTTTATTCTCATTGAATGTTTACAATCACAATTACCAAACAATAAATATTTTAAATCTATTTTCAACAATTCAAAGAGTTAGAATTTTTAGATTGCTGACAATCTATAGATTTAAACTCATATTCTCCAAACGATCCCTCAATTTCATATGAATCGTCTGCTTAGAATGACGATTATTAGGCGAGTACATTGAATGCACCAAAAAAAATGGATGCACTAAATATTGGGCCCAGCTCATGTGGCAGGGCAATGGCCAACAAGGTTGGCGGTGGTATTTGTGAAAAGAAATTAAAAAAAATTAAATAGATAATGCAGAAGTGTAAGCGGCAGTTGGGGAGGTGAGTTAGCTGATGGGAATTCAATTCCCTTATCTCCCATTGGCCTATAAAAGGCAGCTAGCATGGCTTCATTCTGCATCCCACACCAATCCTTCCTCTCTCGTTTCTTTCTCCGTAGCCTTCTTTTGTATGCTCTTTGAGCAATTCTTTACTTGTGGGTTCTGGTAGTGAAACGTTTTCTTGTGAAACGTTTTCACTACCATGGGTAGATAGGAGATTTCCTTGTGAGTGAAATAGTGAGGTTGTTTGGGAAACACCGTGTGTTCTATTTCTTGTATCGAAAAAATCTCTGTAACCTACCATTGTTATAGTGAACAAATACTCCGGAGCTGTTGTTCCCGTGGATTGGCCCAAAATTAGGGTATACCACGTAAATCCTCGGTGTCATTTATTATTATCTATGCTTGTTGCTATTTTGAGAATAGTCGTAGTATATTGCATTATTAAATTACCGAAGTAAATTGATCTAAGTAAGTTGGTTACCGTAATTCTGGAGGCTCTGCCACCAGGTCCAACTTACCTGTGAACTTTTTACAAGCGTGTGATTTATTAGTTCAATATATTTACCCGCTATTCTCACCCGTTGCGCCCAACACTAAAGACGCCACCATATATATATTCCCACATTTTATTTTGACGTATGAGATTGTGGCTATAGACAAATTATTTGCACATCCAAGGTTCTACTACACATTATCAAACTGAATTCATGATTACAGCTTCTGAAAGCTTGCCTGCATGCTTATATTCTGCATTTCATCACAGGCAGAATTCAAGCTTCACAAAAATACACAAAACACACAACGAAAGCATTATTTGCTGAAATTTCAAATCCAGCAGCCGGTGCGTTCAGGTTTCCAAGCAAACGACGTCGAGTTCCTAGACTCCGGAGGCGAAGAAGAGAAGTGCTTCCAATCCTGAAGAATCGCCGTCAGCGCTCGAATCTTCGACTCCATGCCGATGCAGCACGTGGCGTGCATGGTGCAGCCGACGTTGAGGTCCTTGATCGGCTGGCAGATCCCGCCGAAGTGATCGGTGTCGAGGACCTTAACCCGCAGCCCGATCTCGTCGATGAAAGGCTCGTCCTTGATCTTGTTCAGCACGTCCTGCTCGTGCATCCCCGGGAACCTCTCCCTGGAGTCGTACCAGTGCTGGAAGAACCGACGGGCTCGGTCGTTCGACCTCACGAACCCGAACCCGCCGTTCATGCTGTTGTAGTGGAGCTCCGAGTCGTCGCCGGTGTAGATGTCGCAGGCGATCTGGAAGTCGGCGTCTTCGTGGAAGTGCGGGAATGGATTTCGGAACCACACTATGTCCACATCCTACAACAAAAAGTAATTAGCATCTCTTAAACTAGCTAGGTTTTTTTAATATAATTAGAGTCATTCTAAATATTATCTAAACAAAAAAATTTAGAATGACAGGTTCAATATGAATTAGAAAATATATAAAAAAAATTATTAATTGTGAAATGAATGTCGTGTAATGAGTAATATTTTCACCAAAAATAATATCTAAAAAATATATATGTTTGTCATGGCAGGTTCAATATAGATTAAAAATGTCACAGACAAAACAATGCATTGCAATATTGTGTAACTCGTCATATTTTTAGAATTGAAAAATGAATGACGGTTTATATTTTTATTAAAAAAAATTCGATGAATGTTATTTATTTATTAGCTGCCCAAAACTATGCTAAAATTTTGCAAAGTTGGCTAACGTATTTAATTTAGGCGCTGTAATTGTTGTACTTCTGCACACTGAATAGTTTTATATTTTCGCCTTAGTTTAGACGAAAATTTCAAAGTATCCATAGAATTTACAAGTAACATTCATAATTCTCGACAAGCTGTAGCTATGCTCCTGGATATTAGATATCGTAGCAAAACAGCCGCCTAGTTATTCTACTAACTTGAAGATTCGTTAGTTTTTCCCTTACCGTGAAAACGAAGTCAATCCCCAATTTTAAAACGGAGGTGTAGAACTCCATTCTGCGCCAGACCATGCGCATGAACTCGTCGCTCTTGAACGTGGCGGGGGTCCCCGTGAAACTGACTCCGGGTGTGGTCAGTGCGTAACAGTGTGGATGTACGGCTTGGCAGTATTGGTGGGCTTTTTGGTCCAGTGACACGATTACCAAATGCCTCACCAGTTCTTGGGTCCCGTCCCCGCTCCAGAAGCTCTCCAGAAACAGGTCCAGAATCGAACCTGGCTCGGCCCACGCCTTGTTGATGGTGGTGATGATCACCATCTCCGACGGCGGCAGGCTTCCTTTCCCGACGGCCGTCGTCGTCATCTTGGCATTTTGCACTACTTTGATCAGTTCGGGGTCCTCGCTAATGTCATGCTGCTGCATTTTTGTGTCATCCTCCTGTATTGGAATAGAGAAAGACGGAAATGAACAATTTTCACACGATAATACGCTTTTATGGATATTTCGTGTATTTTGATAGTTATGAATATATTTATCACAAACGTAAAAGTTATGGATATACAAGTATATTTTGCCATATATATATATAAAAGCGGAATTCAGGTTTAACTTAACCTAGCATTTGGAGTATCAATAATTAATTTAATAGACATCGATTTATCGACAAAATAAAAAAAAATTCTATTGTATTCCTTTTAACATCTATATATATAACTTACTGGATTTGGAGAAGTCGCTGGGGAGAAGGGACCTGCCGGCGGAGGGGTCGAACTTGGAGAAGGGTAGATCACCATAACCCAGAGCAGAAGGCAGAAGAATCCCATTCCGAGCGCGGCGGCGGCGGAGGCTGAGATTTCCATTCTCCCCACTCGGAGTGGGAAATAGCGGGATCCGACGCCGAGGGACAAAAAACTCCTTGTCTTCTTGCCGATTACGACATCCCCATTGTTGTGATCAACCTCCCCGGCCATCCTTCGGCGACTTAGAATTAACCGGAAGGAATCAGCTGCCTGGGATGGGGATGAACTTACATAATCATATTGCCTTTTTGCGAATTTATATAATATAAGTGAATGATGTGCGAACTAATATTTTGTGGGTGAATGGCTGAATGGCCTCGTTGTTTGGTCTCTTCCGTCTTTGATCATTAACTGGCTTCTCTAGATGCTTTTCATTTCGTTTCGGCGGGGTTCTTCAATTCCGCAACTAGTGTTACGTTGTTATCATACAAGAATTATTATGGAGTTGTATTAATAAATAAATGTGATTACGTATCAAAATTTTGTTGCCGAGAACATCAAGGCAGGAACTACGTAGCTACCTAGCTAGCTTGGGAGGTATCTTATAATACGGAAACACAAGAGATCAAAGAAAGAAAAATTTGGGTTCAATTCAATTCAATTTCCATCACGCGAAATGGAACTTGAGTCCAACCATCAAAAGGGCAATTAAGATATTATTATCTATTATTTAATAAAATTAAAAAAAAAATGTTCACTCTTTCTCTTTTTCATAATTGGCACCGACACCCATTAAAACAAAGCAATAATGTTATTAATAATTTCTTTCAAAAAAAATTACTGACGTTCTTGCATGTTGTTATTAATTCTTTTTAAAATCCTAATAATGTCATTGTACACTATTAATGATTCCTTTCAATATGTTAATGACAAAATTGTATATCATTGATAATTTCTTTCAAAAACGTTGATAACGTTATTATATATCATCGATAATTTTTCTCCCTGAGAAACATGGTTACAAGAGAGAAGGGAAAGTGGCCAATTCAGGGAAAACGAAAATAAAACTCTAATGAATTTCTTCTAATACCGAAATTGCCTTTGTACTAATTGAACACCCTTCTCTAGATTTTGTTCAACATTGGATCTTATAGGAATTAAATAATTTAACCTCAGTGCTAAGACTTAGTCCCATGACTAAACACTCCCTTAGTAAATGGAAAACAACACCCTTGAGGAATAACTATGGTAAATGTTTCCTTCTGGTTTTACTCGGTGAGCATAATTTCCACATGTCAAAACCCCGGCTCAAATCATATATTATGAAAATCATAATAGATTAACGGTATGTATATCAGTATATCACATCTAGTTCGTGTATAGTTCACCTTTATTCAAATTTATGTTGTCCAAAGTCGTACATACATTTGAAGTTCAAGGTTATTAAAAATGTAAGAGTCGTCTAGCTAACTACTGAATATGGTACATAACTGTTATTGTTCAACGCATCACATGTGGATTGACGGTTTTTTCATAATTGGTATTACCGCACATGCACTCATTTTTATGATAAGAGAATATGATCCAACTACTCAGTATCACGATCTGTTGTTAGCCCGTGTCTACTTTTCGATATAAAAATGTGATCCATATACACTCTAGTTACAGGCCGCACTCGGGAGGGTGGGGTCTGTCGACGCAGTAGTCAGCGGTTTGGTAATGCTCGAGGACATGCTCGTACGCCTTCTGCTGTCCCTCGTCGAGTGTCCAATATTTCTCGGCATTCCACCAATACTCCGGCGAAGAACACGACGCTAAATCGGAACCTTCATCGTCCACGGGACAACCGTCGACGCTGAAATCCTTGAAGTAGGCCCGGAACGGTCCGTAGGCCCAGTCGATTTCTTTCTGGTCCGTGTCCATGGCCCAAGGCTCTCCATTCCACAGGCTGGCCTGCAACCACATTGGCCTCGTCGCAGGGTACGATTTCCCGTCGACCTTCCTCATCACCCTTACTGGAACTTCATCCACGAAAAATCTGCACAAATTCACGAAAAAAATTTCTTAAAAAGAAAGATATTATTTTCTGTAATGAGGATTCGAAGAACTTTGATGGCCGGTTTACACGATCTGGCGGTGGTTCCAGAGGAGAGTGTAATTGTGAAAGTCAGCGGTGGGGTCAAACCAGCTGAGATGGACCGTTTTCTCCCTGTTTCCGTAGCCGTCTATGAATATGTTGGTGTTTAGTCTGATGGGCCTCGACTCTTCGTTCCCCAATATCTCAAAGTCCAATTCATCATGGGCCTCCCCGACCGAAGTTAGCTGCATAATTGGGTCAAAGGCTAAGATTAAGGGAAGGATGAGATGGAACAAAGGCAAAATACCAAGCATTCAAAAATCGTAGGGTACAAATACTTTAGTCGACAATTACTTCATCCTTTTCTCTCCTCCTCTAAAGCGGCACTCGGCTCTCTTCAATAAACAGACACTGAGCTCTCTCTAACCGTTGAGATAAAAAGTAATGTTTGCACTTTGTAATTGGGTTTAATAACAATTAATTTTAATATACATTAGCGAAATTGTGAATTTTATTTTATGTGCCTTTTGTGTATTTGACTCATTGATATCCTGTGTAACTTCAATATTTCCCAGTATGATACTATATTTTTGTTTGTACGGTATTTTGATATAAAAGAAAATATTTTATTCAAAATTGTCTTTTACCGATATAAAATGGTTGAACCACAATCATATCACAAAATACCCTACCATATACTAATTCAGTATAACCTCCGGTACGGTTTCTCAATCTTGAAAAATACAGTTGTTCCAACTGAAATTCACAGAACGTACATAGAATGCAGTGACAACTCCGGCGGAGTTTCTCCGGGGAGCCTTGATCCGCATTTGGAAAAAACCAGACCCATAGCTCCGTTTGGTTGTGAATCCAGCACCTGCATGCAGTATATATATATATAACAGAAACTCAGAAGATTAGAATTTCATCATAGAGATAGATTTGGGACCCAACTTGATCAAACAATAAAAGAGTTTAGGAAAGGGAGAGAACAGAATGGACCAGAATAACGATCCATGAAAAGCTCAACTTGAGTTCCTTGGTTGGATATGTTGAAGTGTTCAGACCCCCAGTATGCAGTAATGTCATGGCCATTGAATCGATAGGTTTCCTCCTCCGCAATCACCCAGCAGCCTCCCACCAACACCACTACGAACAAGCCATATGTTGCTGCCGTAGGAATGTGGGCAATATTCATTTTGGATTCTATGTACGCAGATACGTTAAGTCTTCTCTTCATTAGGTTGTGGTTGCGGTTTACTGTTCTATTTATGAGGTTATTATATATTCACATTCTTGAGGACTGAGCTGGTTGAGTGCTGTAGTAGTGCACGTTTGCAAATGGGTTGCGTGCAAGAACATGTACAACGCAGTAGTAATTTTGTTGCTGTTTTGGGGTGATTTTCAACCGGTCATTTGATGGGGACTTAACTGGAGGAAGTTGGCTTTACTATTCGTGTCTTTTTCTTTTGTTTCGTGTCATTTTTCATTTTTCGAGTTCTAGTGATAACTACTCATTTAGTGGTTAGTGTCCACTCTATCTTCGTCGTTGGAACCTTTCTCAATTCCCATAGAACCATCTAGAGTAATCGGTAGTCCCGGTCACTTGATATGGTATCTGAACGAATGCCAAATTAATTCAGTTATTAACTTCAATTCACTTGATTAATAATAAATGGTAGATGCATACTGGGTAAATTGCAAGTTTGTCACTGAAATTATTTAAAAAGTTTATATTTGCCACTAAAATTAGTTTATTCCATTCGTAGTTACACAAATTAGTTCAACAATTCAAGTTTGGTCACTCTCAGTTCGGGCTGGGTTCAATCGGGTTCGGATTCAAACAGGTTGCGGGTTCACAGGGTTGCGGGTTTATCGGCATCGGATTCGGGTTCAAACGGGTTGTGGGTTAGTCGGATTGCGGGTTCATCGGGTTCAGGTTCAATCGGGTTGCGGACAAATCGGGTTACGGGTTCATCGGGTTTTGGGTCGGGCGGGTTGCGAGCGGATCAGGTTGTGGGTTGTTCGGGTCGGCGCATCGAGTAACTTACTCCTCACTCGTTACCAACTTACACATTTTATTACACTAATTTAAAATAGTTTTCTCAATTTTTAACCAACTTCTTTCTAATTTGTATATATACGAGATTTTAAAAAACACTAGTCAAAATGTTGAATCAATTTATATGACTTGCAAACTTGTTATGTAATTAATCATAATTGGTAAAGTACACTACCTAATAGTAATGGTTATATCAACATTTGCAACCAAAAGACACTATTAATTATTTATTTGGTATTGTAATATTATTTTAGTAGTAACTGGATTATAGTATCTTGTTTAGAATAACCATGCAAATTTGATATTTGGCGGTGGTATTTGGAAAAAGCAAAGTGGTAAAAGGAGTTATTTCGAAATAACTCATTGCCTCTAATAACTTCAGCAAACTGTTGTCAAACGATTTATTTGTAAAATTGTTCGAATTACCCTAAAAATTGAATCATTAAAGATTAACTATCAAATTTAGTAAAATTGTTGCGGCTTCAATCATACCTTACTAAGTAACATATATCCTATACACTTAGCCTTACTCTCAATCAACAATATTAAGTTAATATATGTTGTTGATTGTATACCCTAAAGTCTAAGCCATCAATATATTATACATTAACAATATACCATATATTCTGACCATATATCCATATGAGTTGTGATTTTGCTAGTATAGTTAATTTAAAGTGAAAGTCATACTTTGATTTTCGAAACATAGATAAAAAAGTAATATTTGCTATACCCTAACCATATATCATATAGACGTTTTTCTGCATGATGAAGGAAAGGTCGGCCAATGGGGGAGTGCACGAACTCAACCGGAAGTGTCGATCGGTGATGCAGAGGCCCTCGGCGGTGAGGCCAAAACGCACAAAAGACCGATTCGAGATCCATCGACGGATTCTCTCAAGTCCGGGCAAGAACAAAAGGAGATTTACAGCTCTGAGTGATGAAATAGAGCTCTCCGGAGCTGTTTCAATGAAACGGTGCAGAAGAGGGGCTCTGAAGGGATGGCGCTTTTGGCTTCCCCCTTCGTCTGTTCTGGATGGGGTTATCTCACCTACTGGTTCGATCCCTTTGAAGGACGAACAACAACCTGAACCCGTAATGGGACTAAAACAAACTATTCGCAGATCTAACTGCGATCGACCCCTCGGGGAAGATGGGTCTGTAACGCCGTCAATAGATAGGCTGAATATAAGTACAGTGAACCCAGATTGTTGCTCCGGCAACGTTTTCCGATCGATATTGACGCCTGCCGACGTGGCTCACCCCTCGTCTGTTCCGGATGGGGTTTTCTCATCTACTGGTTCGATTCCTTTGAAGGACGAACAACAACCTGAACCCGTAATGGGACTAAAAGAAACTATTCGCAGCTCTAACTGTGATCGACCCCTCGGGGAAGATGGGCCTGTACCGCCGTCAAAAGATGGGCTGAGTGTAAGTACAGTGAACCCAGATTGTTGCCCGGCAATGTTTTCCGATCGATATTGACGCCGGCCGACGTGGCTTCCAAACCCCGATTTAATCAAATCGTAACGGCGGGACAATGATTCGGATTTGAACCCCGGGTTTTGGGGGGTGCGATGTTGCTTGGCATTATCTCGTCTAGCAAACAAAAAAAATCCAAAACAATTCAAAAATTAGAGAATCCGATCTTAACTGATCTTGGGCTTCCTAGTCCGTTTAGACTTCTAAGAGCGGGATCGGATTGGCAAATTGGGCGGCCCTTAAAAGGAGATCTTTCTCCTACTGTCTCGTACAACTCTGTTCCTCATCCCTGGTTTCGCTTAGCTGAAACTTTCAGAGGCAACGAAAGTCGAGAGGCGCCGCTGCAATCTACTACTGCCACCGAGACTCTCACAGGTATAATGAATAAAGCTCTAAGTTCATTCCCCTGTGCTAGTGAATCTCTTCACCCCTCCCCGCCGCCTAGTATTTCCCCCTCTTCCTGTAATCTGTCGTGGCTGAGATTTGTTCAGGAGACCATAAGTTTGGCTTTGAACCTTCCATTGTTTGATCCTCCCTCTCTTTGCCAGGAATCAACAATGGCTCGCGCAGCTAACGATCAGGTTGTCGAGTTCTCCCTGGAGGAAGTCCAGTCAACGAAATTCCGTGCGTCCCGGACACTGATGGGACGTATGTTCTCGGAGAACCAGCTCACAATCATGGAGATCAAGGAGGAGATGCTTGTGGCCTGGCAGATTAGGGGCCAATTACGGGTTAGCCGTACCAAACATGGGCTGCTGGAGATCGTTTTACCAAGTGAAGAAGCCAAGATTTGGATCTTGAAACGAAAGCCCTGGGTGATCAAAGATAAACTGATAAATCTTCGGTCTTGGGCGCCAACGATAAATAAGCAAATCTTTGAGGATCTTGCTATCGCCCCCTTCCGCATCCAGCTTTGGAATGTGTTAGAAGATTGTTGTACTAAACAATTTGGCCAAAAAATTGTGGCTCCAACTATTGGCCAAGTCTTAGAAACTGGGGTGTTTGCTTGCAAAGACACGGGGGAAAGCTTCGTTAAAGTTCGGGCTCTAGTTGACTTTTCGAAGCCTCTGAGGTCCCAACTCATGGCAGTTAGCGAAGATCTTGACGGCTTCTGGGTCCGATTGAAATATGAATTTCTTCCCACCTTTTGCTATCACTGTGGTCATGTGGGGCACTCACGTCGTGACTACTCGTTTGATCCTCCAATTGGCACAGAGAAATTCGATCCCCACATGTCTATGAAAAAGCTTGGGCGCAAAATTTACGATGATGTGGATGGGAGTACAAGCTTTAGAGGCAATCGTGGGTCCGTCTGGATCAACAGGCATGTCCGGCAGCAAGGAGATGGAGTTGGAGTTCCAAACAAAGGCCGCGGGCCTGTCATCCAGTTGGGTGAGACGGAAAGGAAAAATAAAGGCCTAGCTCGGCCGCCTGTGCAGGCCCAAAATCATGAGGGGGAAAACCCAACTCACACCTCGCCTAAACCTATACCGAAGCCCAAGAACACACTCTCTAGTCCAAGAGGGTTCCCAGTCTGCAAGTCACCTGTCTCCCACGATAATGGTGGGCCTCGCCGATTGCAGAGGCAAAGCCCAGCTGGAGGCCGCACTCGCCCACTTGATTCCGGTAACAGAAACAGGCCGATGAAGGCCCACCGTAGGGAAGGTGGATCGTCACACTTCATCGCCCAGGCTACCCCTGACGTAATGTCGGAGATGCAAGCTGTTCTGGAGCAAACAAGGCGACGGCGCCTAATCCTGGATGACGACTCGGATGATGATGAGCCCATTCCGGGGCATGCTGAGTCCTCTGTGGCGAACAGAAAACTGGAGGGCACTCTGAACCGAGTCTAAGAGGACAGGTCTGGTACTGCTGAGGTCAACCGTCCAATTATGAGGGACGAAGCTGAGTCACAGTTGAAGGAAAAGGCGGGGGATTCTAGTAGGATGCCAAATCTGAGGCTCGAGGCACAAAAACCTCTTATGCTGACGTCTGTTCAGCGTAAAGGTAGGCTAACACTTGGAGGTCCTCCCCTGGTTGCGAGAGCTTATAAAATGAAAGTTCATGGTGTCGGCTGTAAAGATATTCAGGCGGACAGCTCCTCACCGGACAGGAGATCTCTAAATGTCTTGTCAAATGGCGGGAAAGAGGGAAGTGATGCTACCCACTATGAGGGACATGTTTTGGAGGACTCGGATTCTGATGAAGAGGTGCAATGCTTTGAAATCAAGAAACGTGCACCTCTGAAGACTGAGAAGCTGTCGAACCAAGATCCCTCAAACCGTGTCAGCAAAGTTGTGGCAGCCTTTGAAGCTGGTCTATCATTGAGCCAGGAGGATGGAAAAGGGAGTAATGTTTTGGAGAAGATGCCGGTTGCTGGTGATCTGGAGGTAATTACCACGGGGTCGGGTCTGGATGAGTATGGCTCTAACATGCCGCATCCAGCTTTTGAATCTCGTAAGCGCTCGTTGGAGCATGTCAAAGGGGTTTTGGATGATGCCCCTAGTCCGAAGAAACAATTTGTGGAAGCTAATGAAGTCTCTGTTCAGGTGGAGGAAGCCAGCCTTGATTGGCCCCAATCGGATAAATGAAACTACTGGCCTGGAATGTGAGAGGAATTGGACCGTCCCTCACATTCCAAACTACTGTTGGTCTAGTTCGTTCCAATAAACCGGATCTGGTTTATTTTCGGAAACACGGTCGAAACGGAGAGTAGTTTCCCGCCGTTTGCGCGGGCTAGGGTTTGATTCTTCTTGTTGTTTTTTGTTGATGCTATTGAGGCTTCGGGAGGGTTAGTTGTAGCCTGGTCCCCGGAAGTCTCGGCTTCGGTGTTTTTCCATTCGAATTTCTGTGTTTGTGTTCAAATTAATGAAACTGACTTCTCTTATGTTGCGATCTTTGTTTATTTTAGCTATAATGTGGCCATCCGCGCTGCCCAGTTGGAGCAGCCCCAGGCTATTTGCACTGGTGTGCAGCTACCCTATGTCATATCGGGAGATTTTAATACGACTCTCCATGAGAGCGAAAAGGATGGTGGTAACCAATAGAATGCTGGGCAAGCTCTCGGGCTCCGAAATTTTGTCCAAAACCTGGGAATTTTGGACCCTGGCTACTAGGGGGATCTTTTTACCTGGACGAATAAACGGATGGGGCGCCTTGTATTCAGGAGAGACTGGATAGGGCTCTTTGTTCCCAATCCTGGATTGATCGCTTCCCGGATACCCTGGTAAAACATTTTACGGATCAGGGATCGGATCACCGAGCGCTCCTCCTCTCTGATAAGCCATATGTTCGTCATACTCGCCCCCTATTCCGGTTTGATGCCCGTTGGGCTGAGAACCCTGAAGTCAGAGCTATGGTCTCGTATTTGTGGCAGGAGGACATCCAAGGGTCGCCGATGTTTCGTCTTTGGGTACGCATGAAGAAACTCCGTAATCTTTTATATGATTGGAGTAGAGCGAAAACCACTAATTCCCTACGCAACATCAGAACTCTCTAGAGTGAAATTGATCGTATCAAGCTCATTCGCCCTATTGAATGGGATGAGGTCCGCTGTCTTGAAATTGATTTGTCGAGACAATGGGAAGCGGAAGAAGTTTACTGGCAGCAGAAGTCTAGAGTTCACTGGTTAAAGAAAGGGGATAAAAATACGTCGTACTTCCATACTGTGACTCGAACTCGATGTAAAAGAAATTTTGTGACTGGGTTGCGAAAGGATAGTAGTGAGTGGGTCACTGATGAAAAAGGGAAAGCGGACATAGCAACTTCTTACTATGGCCATCTTTTTACGACTGAGAATCAGGTCCTGAATATGGGGTGCGGGTGGCGGCTCTGCCTATTGCCCGCAGTGTTACCCCGGAAATGAATGTTGAACTAACAACTGCTGCCCTCCCAGCTGAGGTTCGTCGAACTGTCTTGGCTATGGGATCAAAGCAAGCTCCGGGATCGGATGGTTTCATGGGATAATTCTTTAAGGCTTTCTAGGGGATTGTGGGTGATTCGGTGATTGACGTAGTTTGCTCGTTTTTTACGAGTAGTAAAATGCTCCGTAGCTTCAATCATACCTGGCTCACGTTGATTCCCAAAGTAGATATTGTGGAGTCTATGACGCAGTTACGCCCAATCAGTCTATGCCAATTCTTGTATAAAGTTATAACGAAAATTATGGCTGAACGATTAGCATGCCTCTTACCACGAATTGTTCCGGAGGGACAGAATGCGTTCATTAGAGAGCGGCAAATAGTTGAGAATATCCTCCTTGGCCACGAGTTGATGCATTACTTGAAAATCAAAAACCAAGGAAAGAAAGGGTACATGGCTCTGAAGGTTGACATGGAAAAGGCCTATGATAGAGTCGAATGGCTGTTTCTTCTTGCGCTTTTGGACAAGATGGGCTTCAATTCAGTATGGCGAGGTTGGATTCATGAATGCCTCCGCTCTTCGTCCTTTTCAGTTATGATGAACGATACTCCGGCTGGATATTTCATGCCTACCAGGGATTTGCAGCTCTCTTGGAAAAGGCAATCTCGGATAAACGGCTGACTGGGATCAAAGTTGCTCCGCGTGCCCCCCGAATCTCGCATTTGTTCTTTGCAGATGATTCCTACCTATTCCTGCGTGGTACCCTCTAGGAATGTGAGAATCTGATTGAGGTTTTGAATGAATACGAGGAACTGAGTGATCAGCAGGTCAACCTGGCTAAATCGGCGGTTTGCTTCAGTAAGAATATTGCTCTGCCTGACCAGGAGTTCCTAGCTACGATCTTGGGCGTTGGGGCGGTAGGGGTGCGTGATAAATATCTGGGACTCCCTACCCTGATTGCGCGTTCTAAACTGGAGACTTTTTGGTATTTGGAAGAAAAGCTTTTGGCTAGGCTTCAGGGGTGGAAGCAACGGACTTTGTCTTGGGCAGCTAAGGAGACGCTTATTAAATCTATTGCTTTGGCATTACCGCTGCATGTGATGTCCTGCTTTAAATTACCTCTCTCGCTGTGTCGCCTTTTGGACAAACATGTGGCTCGCTTTTGGTGGGGTAATAATGAGGTACATGCTCAGGTGCACTGGATGGCCTGGAGGGATATGTGTAGGAGTAAACATGAGGGAGGGTTGGGGTTTCGTGAGGGTTGCAGTAAGCATTTCAATCAAGCTCTGCTCGCCAAGATTGGATGGCGTATAATTACGGAACCTACTTCCCTGCTGGCCCAAGTCTATAAGGGTAAGTATTTCCCTTCCGGGCATTTTCTCTCTGCTAAAGCTCGGTCTCGCCCGTCTTGGGGGTGGCAGAGCATCTTGTATGGGCGAAATTTGCTAGAGATGGGTCTCAGGTGGCAAATTGGGAATGGGCGGTCGGCGTCTCTGCTCTGATCCCCATGGATCCCTCAGATGCAACTTGATCCCCCTCGGTATAACCCTTTAGTGCTTCCGGAAGGGGGGTGACCCTGCAGTGGCCGAGGTGATTTGCCAAGGAGAGGGTCGTTGGTGCGAGTCCAAACTCAGTCAATGGTTTGACCCCCCCCCCCCCTACTTGCCGTATCATTAAGACTATTCCTTTGCCGCGTCAGAACCTGGAGGATAGATTGATCTGGCATAATACCCGGGATGGGGTGTTTTCGGTTAAGTCAGCTTACCACTTGGCCGTCTCTCTCGATATGAGGAAATGTCGGTGGAAGTCGTCTGTGAGCTGGATGGATAAGGCCATTTGGATCCGTTTGTGGGACGCTAATCTCCCCCCAAGCTTAAAGTGTTTGTTTGGCAGATTCTGAACCGGATCCTCCCCACTACGGAGACCCTCATTGAGAGAAATATCCCTGTTCATCCTCGGTGCCCGGTCTGTTGGGGTGGTCCAGAAACCATGGAGCATTTGTTACTCGATTGTTTAGTTGCGCGTGCGCTTTGGGGATATTCAGGATTGGAGTATTTAGGAGAGGGGTTGCCTCGGCAGACTTTCCCTCTGTTTCCGAAGAAGTTATTGGCCTTAGCCTCGGAGCCCCAATTGCTTATGCGAGTTGTTGCTGTCCTTTGGCGTATCTGGAGATCTCGGAAATGGGTGGTCTTTGAAGGCAAGCAGTATGGGTTTCCGGCATTAATGCGTCAGCTTTCCCAGCAGGTTGAGGAATGGGTGGGGTTACCGAGGGAGGCGCCCCAGCCTCCTCTCCCCGAAATTAGTCAATCTGGACTGTTAAATCCCGCTGCTGGGATTGTGTGCCTATGGGATGGGGCTACTAGGAAGGGGTCTCACTCGGCAGGGGGGTGGGTTCTCTACGATATGACGGGGGTTGCTTTCCTGGCTATTGGGGTCCAGTTCCCTGGGATTGATGAGCCAGCTGTGGTGGAATTGCTTGTGCTCCGGGAGGCTGTTATATGGTGTTTGGCCCATGGGTTCACAGAGGTAGGGTTTGAAGGGGACGCTAAGGTGATCATTGATAAAATCAACAAGACGGAGATTCGTCATAACCAGGTGGGCGCGGTTCTTGAAGAAGTAGTACATGCTGTTAGCGCTAACCCTGGTTTTAGTGTTCGGTTCATAGGTCGGCGTAGTAATAGGGAAGCCCATTTGGTGGCTAGAAAAGCCCTCGCTTTGTGCCCGACTATGATTCGTTTGTTTGACTTTCGTGCCTGGTTGTTGTCCAGGATGTAACTCTCATTTTTGAATCAATATATGATTATTTTTTGTCAAAAAAAAAAACCATATATCATATATTCTACACCATATACCATGTACCCTAACCACGTACCATAAATATAAATTAAAAAGGGATCACCTGCCGTTAAATATTTTAAATGACTTCAATTGAACATATGTTAATAAAAAACTTAGAACCGTCAAAACCATCAATATCTTATACCCTAACCAT